CGCCCTGCCAAGCTTGTACAAAGGATCCCTCTCTGTTCCCAGCTGCCCCCCAGAGTAAAACCCACACCCTAAACCACAACAGGCACTGCTGGAATGCTCCAGGAGCAAAACAAAAACCTCTTGTTCCCCTCACATAACCCCAGAGGAGCCCAGATGTGGAGCGGTGAAGCTGCAGCCCTGCAGGGCAGGCCCTGTGTTCCATTGGCAAATCCATCCCAAAACTGTCCTGCAGCAGAACTCGACCTGGTTCACCTTTCCCCTGGCTGCCAGCAGTGTCTGGGCTCTCCCTGGCTGCCAAACCTGCTCAGCTCCAGGTTCAGAGCTGGCGTTTTGCACTGCCAGCTCCTCCACTGTGGGGATGCAGGATCCATCCCTCTGTGCCTGAATCTCCAGGTGGGTCAGAGCTCAGGTCCCATCTGTTCCAGTCCCTCCCTGATAATTCTGTTGTAATTATTCCCCTAATTTCCAGACAGCTGGAAGGCAAAAAGATTTCCTCATTTATCAACAGCCAGAGAGCAAGAAGTGCCGGGGTTGGCTGGGGAGCAGCAAGGGCAGGCTGTCCTCAGGGCTCCTGCCCTCTGTGAGCCTTCAGACAAGGGGTGTAACAGCTCCATTCCAGCCCTCCCAGTCCTGCCAGGCTGGGAAATGCTCCACACACCCTGAAAACAGCTGTGGAGGGAGCTCCTTGCACAGGGAGGGATGCCCTGGCCACAGTGATGGAGGCACTAAGTGATGCCCACAGTGACACTGCTTTCCCAGGAATCAGGGGCTTGGCTGGTGCAAATTCCCCTTTTTTTTGGTAGATGTGGCACCTGGGGACATGGCAGTGATGGAGTAAGGGTGATATTAAAGGTCTTTTTAAGCTAAACAGTAAGAAAGACAACTACTGTGTTGGTGTAATGGAATCTCAGAGCCCCTTTCATTCCACCCCCTGCCATGGCAGGGACACCTCCCACTGTCCCAGGGTGCTCCAAGCCCTGTCCAGCCTGGCCTTGGGCTCTGCCAGGGATCCAGGGGCAGCCACAGCTGCTTTGGGTCTCCCCACCCTCAGAGGGAATAATTCCTTTCCAATCTAAACTTAGATTGGATAAATTTCTTTCACTTTAAAGCCATTCCTCTCCCCATGTTATTCAGAAGCACCAAGCCTCACTGCAGGGAAAGAGAGATGGCACATGCTTTGAACACAACACATGGATTTATTTTTTCCCCCTCTGCATATTTACATTTTAGAGCCCCCAATAAAAGGATCGAGCAGTAGTTGTGCTAAAGACACATCCCACTGGAGGTCAGTGTTTCTCCAGGAATGGGGAATCCCTGCCTGCTCCAAAACATGGGTGGCCTGATGCAAAATATTTGCATCAACAAGATTTGGAAAGGAGAAAACCTCTTTCCTACGGTTAATTATTCACTTGGCTGTCTTTTAAAATGGCATTAAAATGTAATTGGGAAGCTATTGCTGGCCAAACATGGGCTGGGGGCTCAATTCTGCACGAGGCACTGCTGAGCATCCTGCCCAAGGTTGAGCCCACCAGGAGCTTACCTGGGGCAGGAATTGTTCCCTGGCCTCCCACCCTGCCCAAAATCCTCTGCAGAGCTGAGCTTTGGGGCCTGCAGGAGACCCAGCTCCAGCACCTCCCTCTTAAATGATCCTTTTGGCTTCTGAGTTACAGGGACTGAGTTTTTCCAATTTAAGAGAAAAAAGGGTCACCAAAGCTCTCAGTTTTAAAGGGATTTTCCTTTCCCTTTCCCTTTCCCTTTCCCTTTCCTTTCCTTTCTCCAGTTTCACTTGGCCTTGGCCCCAGAACCATCCATGGAAACAGAAAAGGCTGGAACACTGTCTGACACTGAAAGCAACCAACCAGAGCTTCCCTCTCATCTCCCTGTCCGTGTCACTCCTCACAGCTGGATTTTGGGGTTTTATTTTTAATCATAACTTTCCCCTTTCACAGGGGCCGTGGCCACCCGCGGGCTCAGCACTTCTGTGCCAGCGACTCTTCACCTGCAGCAGCAGGAGCAGGGCTGTGCCAGAGCAGGGCAGCTCAGGCACTGGATCCAGCAAAAGGAACCTGCCTTTGTGCTCCCCGAGCTGCTGAGCCCTGCTCTGACCCCTCTGATGTGCAAATAACACAAAGGGAAGAGAAGAGCGACTGCAGAAGGGAATGGGACAAAGAAGGTGAAGTCCTGGGGAAAATGGGTTTTAAAGCAAGTAGCTTTAGCCTCAAGCTCTGCCAGCTCTGGGTGTTAAAAGCCAGGCCTGGCATTGCCATGGCCTTGTGAAGAACAGAGCAGAAGGGCAGGGATGGGGCAGCCCCGCTCTGGCAGAGGCTCTGGTGCCACCCTGGCACAGACAGGGCTGTTTCCCTTTGTGATGCACAGAAAATCAGAAGCTGGGACTGGACTATTCCCATTCCTGGGAGTGCTCAGGGCTGGAAGGGGCTCTGAGCAACCTGGTCCAGTGGGAGTTGTCCCTGCCCACGGCAAGGGGTTGGACCTGGTGATCCTCCCTTCCAACCCAAACCATTTAATAATTCTATGATACCCTGCCAAACACTGAATGAATCCTCAGAAAGAGCCTCTGCTCAAAGAAAATGCTCTACAGAAATGCCTTTTCTGGGAATTCTGTGTGCCCAAGGGGGGGATGAATATTTCAGGAAATAACATCAAGGACCTGTATGCACAGGCCATGTGGCGGGACACACAGTGAAGAAACAAAACCCAAAATGAGAATAAAACATTGACACGATTCTTACACTTGTGAACAGCCCAGTCAGTCCCTTGCCATTCCAAAGCTGCAGGTTAAACCCTTGAAGTGATTATGAAGAGAACATTCCTGGAGTGCCCAGGCTGGTGGGGCAGAGCCTGGCAGATGCAGGAGCTCATCAGGAGTGCCCAGAGCCAGAGCTGCCACACAGCAACAGCAA